ATGGGAGCTTCCCTGGCCACCCCGCTCCCGCTGCGGGGAGCGGCTTTGCGTGGAGCTGCCTGTGCACGTGAGAAATACCTGCACCTTGGTTCCCACGTTGAATTTTGCTTGTTGCCCCATGGCGAGGAAGGAAACGGCGATCTTGTCCTGGCCCAGGATCCTGACCCCCACGTGCCGGTTCAGGGAGATGAAGATGGGGCTTAGTGGGACTTGGGGTCCTGATGACTTGGTGCTGTTCGGCCATGTCCACCTTCTCACCCTGCTGCCTGCTTGGTCCAAATACTGCCCTCCCTGAATACTCATGGTTATCCTAAAAGAGAGGAAAACCAAAGCTCTGAACCCTGCAGCTCCCATGACCTACGTCCGTTTTTGCCCAGAGGGACGGGACTGAGGCACAGCTCGCTGGGGGTCCAACCCCACCTCCAAGACCCAGCTGGGGTAGCCCTGCTCCTCTGGGAGGCACCTGAAGCAGGACCCATGAGCTGCTATCTATTAAAAATACCCTTTATGACCTTGAAATTTAAAATGTGCACTGGAGCAAAACTGCTCTGACCAACTTGAACGTACCACACAGCTCCGTTCGGATAATAGCAGGTACTTCTGCCATCGGACTGAAACACCGCTTGTATCCCGGCGTTACTCGGCTTGTCTTCCTGCACGATGCAAAGGCGCCGGTTCTTCTCCCGTACAGCAATGATTGCCAGATTTCCAGATGGATAGCTGTCATCAGGTAAGGTGTTCACAACCCCTGTCTTTGTCTGGTCGGTCTATTATTACATACTAAACATTTCAGAGCGCTACTTTGGAGTATAAAAATTGACGTATTACTGGGAGCACTGCGCTGAAGGCAGAGCAGTGGTGGGCTGCCAGTGCTTTTCTCCTGCACTGAAGTGTCCTGTATCCACTGACAAAAAAGCAGTTAGAGGTACAGAATACCTTTTTGTTGTTTTCTAACCAATAACTCAGGCAGAACTTCGTGAGTTTATTTTAAAGACACGCTCTGGGGCAACGCTTACGATTGAAAGTACGAGCCTCGCAAAGCGAAGCGATCAAAGTACACAACGTGGGTGATGGCAGGGAAAACAGGGGCAGGTAGTAGTCTCCCAGAGAAAAATACCCAACAACTGGGGGAGAAAAGGCCCTTGCCCCAGAAACCTGACTTGAACGTATCCAAACAGCAGGTACTTGGCACCTCACTGGCGTTTCCCTCCTGCAAGACTTGCTGCTGTGAGCGCACGCGTTTATGGCACTTTTGCCATTTCCCACCGCTGCGACCAGCAGCATCCCTGGGCCAAAGGCAGCCTGGAGGGCAGGGCAGAGAAGTCTCAAGCCCATTTGCTTTGGCGGCAGAGCTCAGGTACACTTTCGTACACCCTTGGGTCAGAAAGAGGTCAGCCACAGTAAGAAAAAATAATGTGGGCAACTTAAACCATTATGGCTTAAATAATGGCAAAGGCAGCCTGAAAGCTAAGGGGTCCTTTGGTGTAGCTAACTGCCACGTTTTTATTTCTACAAACAGTATTCCTAGTTCCACTGGTAATTTCAGTTTGTGCACCTCTTACGTACTCCCACCCGCAGGACAGAGACGTCAGCCCTGTGCCGGTGCTGGTGCCAGTGGGAAACGTTGTGCTGGTTTATCCCCGGGGGAAGGACGGCGCTGAGCGCTTTCGCAGCCCGCTCGGCCAGCAGTGCCCTTCCACAGATGGCCAGAGCTCGGCAGCGGCGCCGGACACTGGGCGAGCGCATTTCCTAGGCTGGGTATTAAAGACACACGTGCCCGTCCCACGTCGAAGCTACTGGCTGATCTGAGAAGCTTCAGACCAAGAGCTACGTAAGCAGTTTCTGCGTTTTTCCAGGCTGCGAAAGGGAGTGTGAGCGGTGGCCCAGGTTATTCGGTGAGAAAGCGGACTCGGACACCCTTAAAATTACAGTAACCACCCCGGGCTAGTGCAGGCAAATGAACCCCGTAAAGGATACTATAACTGCGCCGTTCCATCTGGAAGCACGGTAAGGAATTTCCCTCCATGTTTGTAGCATTTTTGCAGTAATTCATTCTCCACTACCTAAGATTGGAAAAGAAACGGCAGAATGGACAAGAGCAGTCCCGCACCAGCTGCCCTTTAAAGGCAGCAGGAGCCAGGCTCAGCTGCCCCGGGGTGCGGACACGTCGGAGGTGCAGCCCGTTGTCGCCAGCAGCAGCTACTCGCCTTGCCACCCACGAGGGTAAAATCGCAGCAGGTGACGCTGTCGGAGACGGGCTCCTCGTCGGGTGTCACTGCCCTCTCACCAGCCACCAGCGTCCGGCCTGTTGGCGAGGGGGGCTCCCGAGAAAGCAGGTAGGAAATCGTGCCAGCCTGACTTGGACCTAGAGAGCGACAGGAGGGTCTGCGTACGTCGGGGAGGGCTGGCAGCGCCCACGTCGGGGTGCCCGGCACCTCTGCAGGGAGGCTGTGACTCGGGGAGTGGGAATTTCTGGCTGAAACGCTCCATCCTGGGAGTCTGTCTCAGGGTATTTTCTGTCTAACAAGGACAGTCCAAAGTGTTCAGCTATTTCAGAGAACAGGTTTATGAAAAAAAAAGGTGTAGTTTTTTCAGTTATGTATATATACATATCTGCGTGAGTGCAGAATTACTTTTTTTGGACAGCATTCATGGCTCCGTGCTCTGGGGGACTGACAATCTGAAATCCTCGGTGCCGCAAAAGCCTCGGTGCCCCGCGTCCTCTGTGACAATACACCCATCCTGGAAATCTAGTTCATCTGTTCTCAGTCAAAATGCCTTTGACTTTAGAGCCAGACCCAAAGGGCTGCTCAGCCATCCACAGCCTGGGCTAGGAATTAGCAGAGTATTCACCTGGTTAGGCACAACATTGATCACCCTAATTCTGGCAGTTCGTCCTTCCGAGGGCTTGGCTTTGCCAACTTATTCTTCTCTAAGGTCGATTTCTGTGCATCTCAGCTGCAACGTTCAGATATCAGTACTGAAAGTCACAGCAAGGAGATCCTCTCTGTGCAACGGGAACGTAACTGCTTTTGTTTTTTCATGTGAGGGATCATTCAATATGGCAGTATCTAATTTAATGGGATTGCACACTTGACAATGAACTAACACGTCGCTGTGTAAATCCTCCCGTTCAATTAGAGAGCGTTAGAGACAGGCAATTCCATTGAATTCATTGTTGTAATAAATAGACAAATAAATACATAAGGAAATGCAAACTCACATTCAGCTTCAGCCACTGGCTCTGCTGCCAGCAAAGCCAACTGTTGGGCCATTTGTCTCTCCTGCCGCCTGGAAAACGAAAGTGTTCCTGATACACGTCTCATATGTCCTGTTTGAAAGCTAGAAGTACTGGATATCCTTGCAGTAGGAACACAAGTTTCTGTTTTTCTCTCTGCTCGCATAATTGCAAATAACAATTAGAGGCAACGGAATGTCACCAAAATAACAACATCTCAGCAAAAAGGAATTGCTCCCGTACCGAGATTTCAGTGAACAGATTCTGCCACTGCAATGGCATCGGCTCTGCCGACAGCAGTGCTAAACATTGTCATTCATTTGGCATCGAGATTTTATGTAAAAGAGAAGGAGAGCTGCCCACAAGGTTGCGAAAACAGCTCATCTCCAAGAATATTTTCACTATTTTTCTTATCTCGCTTCCTATGAATTTGACAGTGCCTGACAACGGCTTTGGTCTGTGCTCTGTACATAGCATGAGGTGCTCACACCATCGCACTGCGAAGGGTCTTCAAGGAAGCGAACGGTTCACTGCCAGGTACGCGGAGCTACTCTACTTTTTAAGCCAAGGCCATCGGCTTAGGTATCCGTGGGAGCTTTGGGCTCCTGCCACACAGCCCAGCAGGAGTTCTCCTGACTCTGGAAACTGGAATCCAAACGCGTGTCATCGTTTATGCAGCAAAACAGAGACATACAAACTCAAGCCGTGTTTCAGCACCTGAGGTAAAAGCCAGACCCAAATATTATCCCTCCCACAGCTGCAATTATGGTTTTGGCTCTACCTGTCCCTAGACCTTACGTCTGCCAGCAGTGGGATTAACGCTCAGCACACGTTCCGATACAGCCGGATAAGAGAAAAGCCAAGAGGGCCCAGACAGGATATGAACACCTGTTACCTAAAGCAAATTTTTTTCTTCTTTCATTCCCTCTTGCTGCAGTTTCATTTTTTTAACGTGTCTTTCCCCTCCGGAGTCACCCGTTGTCCCTTCCGCAGACCCGATCCCCAGCGATCCCTGTGCCCGTGCCACGGTACCTCCGGTACGCTCTCTCCTTCGACAGCCGCCTGTCAGCTTCGGTGCCGTGGGGCTCGTGGGGGCCGATGGCAGCCGGATGGCTCCAGGCGCCCTTGCGGCTCTTCATCTCGCTCACGATGAACTCCCAGAGGTCGCGGTTACGCTCGCAGCAGAACCTCTGGAAGGCAGGAGCGCAGTGCCGCGAGAGCCGGCCCTTCCACAGCCAAGCGCGGCCAGTCCTCCCACCGGCTCACCGGTCCGTGATCCCGTGACGGTGGGCAAGCGTCTTCGAGGGGAGGGAAGGGCTGCAGCGCGCTGCCGCAGTACTCGCACCTCGGAGCAGAGTCCTCCTCTGCCTGGAGTGGAGGGGGGAGAGGGAGCGGGAGGAGGACAGAACCGGGGTATCGGCACACAGATCCTCATTTTGCCTTGGGGCAAGGGCTCTGCTCCAAACGCAGTGCTGTAACGCGTGTAAGGGCTGTCAAAGCAGGTCTGTCTGGGACACCTTGCAAGGATTTAACTCAAAACATCAGGTTCAGGAAACTGCCAAAAAGAAAAGCCGATTTGTAGTAAATAAATAAAAAAAATAAACACCTCGAAGAAATGGAATGACTGCGGTATTTATGAGACCCGTTCCTTCCAAGGGAAAGCTTCAGAGCATGAAGGGAGTACTCTGATGCGTTAACCCTTTCAAACACATTGCTTGGGGCTTTGGAGAGAAAAAGCTCCCCGCCTGCTGCACTGCTGATCCTAGAAATCTATGGGGAATTTCATGAGGAACCAGCAGCAGATTTGCTGACAAACGAGCTGAGCACATTTGACCAGATGCAAATCAGCGGTGCTGCAAGGTATATTTTGAGGATGGGTACTCGATATTCTGAAAGAAATATCCATTTTTTGAAAACATGTTTTGAAACTGGAGTTATGGAAGGTGCAGCTGCCAAGAGCACGCTGCTGAATGTCGCGTCCGACGCCTCCGCTCCCAAGGGCAGCTTTTTTTTTGCCCCCCCAGCCGCAGCAGCAAGGGGTGAAGGGTGCCCGCGCCGGGCCGTGAGCTGCTGCGCTTCACTTACACTTCATTTGCTGTATTACGTGTTCAGCACTTTCATTCAGATCCTTTTCTGACCATATTGATTTGAAACACTTGGCTTCTCTGGAGCGTAGTTCCTGGAAACTCCCTTGCTCCCCACCTCACGCCTACAATTAACTCCCTTTGATGACTTTACTCTGCGGAGGGTTACGGGAACTCTATGCCCTGCTGGTATTCCTTGACTGTACACCTGGTATCTGTATAAATTTTGTATCTCTGTTTTAGCCAAAGGGCAAAATCTTCTGCTAGGAAATTCTCAGCGCAGGATGCAGCGGCGGGGAGAGGAGTCGCACAGCCTCTTGCTGTTGAGGTGTGCACAACAAGCGTCGTTTCAACAGCCTCACAAAAGAAAAACCCTTTCATAAAGGAACTCCTGCGCTGGCTTGGCAAAGGGCATGATTTTTATTTTTCCTACATGGGAGTCGTAGGAATTAAAATAAACAAAACCAGCCACTTAATGGGGAACGCCCACCACTGACTCACCTCAATCTGTACCTTCTCTGCTGACGACTCGGGTCTGTAGGCCAGCAGGGCAGGGAGGCCAACGGAGGGGAGCGTGCACAGAGACTTCTCAAACAGCTCCACAAAATCTTCTTTGAACTCAAAGCGGAAAACACGGAAAGCAATGTGAAGTCATGTCTTTGTTCAGGGTAAAACCAATAAGCATGAAACGTATACATGCAGCCTGGCCAAGTCCTTACCTCCGTGTCACACAGAACATCTAAACCGCTGGACTCTTCTGACAGGGCTGCAGGTGAGAGCAATAAAGGGAATTACTGAACAGCAATGCTGTGTTCTCAGAAAGCTTATCTCCTAGACACATTTGGTTTGTTCCCTTTTCAGCACTCCAGCCTTTTCTCACCAACCACAGCGACTGCCCGGACCTTCTTGCCAGACTCGGTCCTACTCTTTCAGAAGGGCGGCTCTGGGTCGGCGTGTCACCCTTCCCAAACGCCTCAGGGACTTGAACCGGGCACTGACACTGGGTCAGGGCTTTACAAAATCATCCCACTGAAGTCGTGGAGATGCCTTATTGCTTGGGGTCAGGGACTTGTAGCACTAATCTAATATTGCATTATTCTCTAAAGCATCTCTAGACTCTCTTGCTCTAAGAAGAAAGGGCTGTAGAGACGATTGAAGATTTTTCCAATTTCCAAGTGCAGTCCGTGCTGCATGAGTGAATCAAACATTTTTTTGGCCTTTGGGTCAGCAGGATACCAGATGCCTGTCACAGTCCTCGGCAGCCCCAGGTTCTCTCTGGGTGAGCAGTGCTGCCGACATCCAGCCCCTCAGACGCACCGCTGCGTGCTGTCCCATACGTACCACCTTCTGTCTGAATATCGACACGGGCAGCGTGCCAGCTGCCACAGCCTCCCCTCCAGGCAAACTAAACGCATTCCTAGTTCTCTTCATCATGAATTTCAGTTCCCCTTGTTGCCACACAATTTGTCTTGCCCTTCTAAGTAAGCTTGTCCTGCTTTCTAGAAAATACTCAGCCAGATGAAACTCTGGGCAGGCTGAAAAACCAAATCCCTTCTAAGTCCTTCTCTTTGGAAAGCATGAAAAAATCAGAACGTGTGTTTAAAAAGGATGGGGTAAAAATCACAACAGCCCAGGTCAACACCCAGCTCCCAGGCCCGCAATGGGAACCGCAGCTGAGGAATGCTTCTGGAAGTGAATCCAGCACAGGAGGAAAAGCAGAAAGCAATGCTATGGGATTCGCTTACTACGGTAGGAGGCTGAAAGATGTGGCTGCTGGTCTGCTTGAACTTTGGGGTTTTTTTTACATTGCAGTTCAAAGACATGTAGTTCTCACCCTCTGCAATCAAGCCATGTCACGGAGAGTAACCAACCACAAACCTCACCTGAGAAGTGACTTCAGGGAGCACAAGGTGCACCGGTGGAGCTGCACAGCTGGCTCTGCGTGCACCATGGCATGGGGGGGGGCACAGGGAAGCCTGGCACGGGGCGCAGTGCTCAGAGCAGGTGTACACTCCGCCTTCCCACTCTGCCCTCTCTAATGGGCTTTGCAGCTTCTGTACCATCTCTATCTACTGCTGCTGCACCCAGACGCAGGTAGATGATTTACCACGGGCACACGTTTGGTTATCCTGTACTTTGATCATTACAGCGACAGTCAGCCCAAGGGCTCGTGAAGCTCCACCTGAAGTACAAAGCCTGCAACATTTTTCTCCTGCAGACACATTCATGCTGGGTTTCCAAACACACAAAGGGAGCACTGTTTGTCTGTCCTGGGCTGTATGTGCCCCCTTCCTACTGGGACGGATCTGCACGCAGCTTTCCCCAGCGCTTTCAGCTGCTGTGCTGTATTTTGTGGCCCAGATCACTCCTGCTCTCAGAGGCACATGAGATGCAGGAGACGTTCTCCTACAGAGGGGAGCTGCCTGGCATTGAAAATGAAGCACAAAGGCTGTTTGATGTGCTGCCCAAAAGGGATGGGATCGGGCAGCGACCACCACGAACACGCTGTGTGCTGCGGTGCCAGGCTGTACTTCGCGGGCGAGCCAAGGAGCGGGCTACTCGCTCCCGTGCAGGGTGACTCAGCTGAGCAGGAGGAGGAGAAAGGTTGACATATTTTCAGCTCTCCTTAGAGGCGTTGCCAGTGCCTCTCACAGGAATACAATATGCCATTTCTGCCATCTGCTGAGCACTCCCACGTGAGCTGGCTGGCAGAGCACTCCCGCACGCTTCGCTGGGACCCAGCGGTTCGTTTAGAGGCAGCTCAGCGGAGAGGTTAACGAGGGGACCGCTGAGGGGGATTCCTGGGGGCTGCTCCCGGGTCTGCCACTGCTTTGCAAAAGTGTCTCTGGGAAATTGCCAAGTCACGCGACTTCTACAAGGGACACGGGGGCGCGGGGCAGCCGGAGCGAACGGCAGTCCAAGTGAGCAACCTCTGCCTTCAGCACAGCTGGTTCTTACTTGATTTTCCGTCGGCGTGTTCATGCAGCCAGCGAGCTTCTGTCTGCATCGACGTGGACATCCCCGGCACCTCCTGCGCGGCAACGGGTTCCATGCTGCCCGACGTTTCCATTTCCCTTAATTTGAGACACAAACCCACCTGTTACTCACACACAACGAGTTCAAAGCAGTTGCCCTTGGCGACTGTACTAACGAAGGAGCCTTTTCCAAAC